AATAAGGAGAAAAGTGAGGTTTATATATATTAGTCATTTTCCCTTTGTTGGGACTAAATGCCTGACACCTGTAATTTAAAGGAGGAGAGGTACTTAGTCTGTGATTGGTGGGTTCCAAGACAGAAATAATTCTGTGGAATGGCGTGGTGGAGGAGATGCTCAACCCATGACAGCCAGGAAAGAGAAAGAGAGAGGAAAGAGAGAAAGGGAGAAAGAGAAAGAGAAAGAGAAAGAGGGAGAGAGGAAGGGGAAGGGGAAGGGGAAGGGGAAGGGGAAGGGGAAGGGAAGGGAAGGGAAGGGAGGAGAGGAAAAGAGACAAGAGGTGAGGACAAGAGGAAGAGAAGAAAGAGAAGAGAAGAAGAGGAAGAGCCAGGAACAAGAATACCCCCTTCCAGGTCGTGCTTCCAGTGACTTGCCTCTTCTGACAAGCCCTTACTGCCAAACAGCACAGGTAACTCTGACTAAGTTACTAAGCCCCTGATGAGTACAGCATCCCTCTGATCCAGTCATTCCAAAGCCCTCACCTCTGAACATAAGGCTTCTGTGGGACATTTTAGATCTAAACCATTATAGTGAAATACAGGTTAAGTAAGTAAAACCTACATGATTTGCTTTGTAGAGGAGATAAGGATGGTCCCTCTAACAGCCACCATTAAACTTTTGGGGGTTTTTGGGGGATGGAATCTAGGACCTTACATATGCTAGGCAAGTGCTTATCACTGGGCCACACTCCTAACAGCCACCATTAAACTTTTGGGGGTTTTGAGGGGATGGAATCTAGGACCTTACATATGCTAGGCAAGTGCTCTATCGCTGGGCCACACTCCTAACCTATTAGACACTTTTAGTGTAGCTGGCTGAGGGAGGCAACCCATTATGTGGATATGAAAAGAAACTTAACCATTACCAGAACCAGCTGAATTAACTTGACCAGAAGTTATTCTAGACCTACCAGAAATAGTCTCTATCACCCAACAGTATATCCAAGAAACTCTGTCTCAGGAAACCCACACCTTGCTCTTTCAGAGATTGAGATGTATAAATGTGACACATTCTTTAGGGGAAACCCAGCCACAGGCTCCATATTTTATACATATCTCTACTGTCTTGAAAGATCACTGACCCCGGGTCCCAGATATAAGAGCTCAGTAGGTTGTGTAGGTGTGCTCAGCACTGGACTGGCTATTTTCTTTCTAAATCTAAGCAATTAATTTCACGATCTCTTAGGTTGCAAAGTATTTTTTTAGTTGCTGATTTAAAATTATGATTTTTTCCAACAAGAGAACTTTCTAGTTTTCAAAAATATTTTCCCATTAATTTTAAGGAATATTTTGCATTCATTCATAAATGCATTGATACTTATGTTCTAGCCTCCATGCTGGGTACTGGTAAGGTGTTGATAAAATAGACACAATTCTTTCCCTTAGGAAGTTTTCACACATAATACATAATTCTACTAAGACAAAACATAATTGCACAAAAACTTATAGTTAAACATATGCAAAGACTTTTAATTATGATTGACAGAACCTATCGATGAAAAATATGTATGTGGGGATTCATCCTAGTTTGGGGGGCCAAGTGGAATAAATGCTTGCCTGGCAAGCACAAGGTCCTAAGTTAGTCTTCAATACCAAAAAAACCAAACCAACCAAACCAAACAAAAAACGTCCTAATCTGGGGAGTGGTACAGAACGGGCAAAAGGACATTTAAATTGGGTCTTGCAGTATCCACTGGAGAGAGCCAAATGAATGGTGGCGAGGGCCTGCAGGGCCATCAAGAGTGTTCCAAGGGAAATTGAAAGAAGTAGCAGGACAACTCAGGCTTCGGCGAGTTGGGGCAGGGGTACAAGAGGAGTGCAAGAGGAGAGGGAAACCAAGGTAATAGGGACAGTGTGTACAAAACTTCTAATCAATATTGATGCTGCTGCATTTCATCTTAGAAAATGTGATCAACACTGAAAGAGTTTTAAGCTAGAAAATGGTGAATATATTTGTTTTTTTCAACCAGCCTTTCGGCTTGGCTGTTCTGTGGGGAATGGACAGTAGGGAAGCAGAACCTAGGAACAGGTTATCTTTTGGGGGACGCCACACTGAGTTTGAGAGAGGGAAATGAATTGTTAGATAAGCAAGGGGATTCAAGCAACATTTGAGATGTAGAATTGACATTAGGGATGGGCTTTAAGAATCTTTGTAAGTGCAGGGCATGAAGATCTGATTTAAGGACAATGCTATGCCAAAATACTTATTTGGGCAGGAAAATATAATTGAAAGCATTGTAGAGACTTACTCTTGAGGAAGCACTCAGGGCTTGGTGGCGTTCTTTCTAATGCACAGGAAAACTTCTCTAAGAATCTTCTTTGGCCATCTCTTACTGTCAGTGCCTTCTATACACTTAGGAAAGAGCTCAGAGACAAAATGCCCTCTCCTGCCTTTTATTAGTACTATCACACATTCTGCAACCTCCATCCAAGTGAGTCTCATGCCATCTTTATGATCAGAATTTATCTAACTTTTCTGGTATCCTAAAATCCTCCTTTTTCTGACTGTTGGGATTCTTCTCAAGAGGAAAAAAATCTCCAAAGCCACTTTAGCAAGCAAAAAGAACAGGGAGAGATATTACAAATATGTGATTACTTTTGTTGTTATTGCTGTCATTGGCTGCTTGTTTACCATGATTATGTACATGAGGAAGAGAAATGTGTAGTGCCAGCTTTGAGCAAATGAATAGATGGGCCCACTGTGGAGGAAAGGAGGATAGGTTTTGAGAAACCAGCAGAGCATTTGGGTTGCAGACCTTCCTCTAGCTGGTCTAGAGAAGCTATCCAGGAGCAAGTGTTCTAGGAGCTATGTGGCTCAGGTGAATCAACTGTTAAATTTTCAGGAATTTTAGATGTATTCACTATTAAAAATGAAACCATATAAATGTACAATTGAAAATAAAGATAATATAACAAATATTTCAAACTCATTCCTGCTTATACGTTACTATTATCTGCCCTTGAGATTAATTGTGTCTGTCATATCTGTGTGGTTGAAATACCACACTGTCGATGTCCGCTCCCGGCCGGCAGGAAGGACACACGACAAAGTCTGGTAGTGGACAACCTTTTCTTTTTATTTTCCTTCTCCGTACAGCCTGCCCTGGGTTCTCCCAGCTGAAGCCTCCTTTGGTCCGCTCCCCGCGGCTCCTTTTGTGCTTCAGTCTGCCCCAAAGCCTCTACCGGTCCGCTCTCCGCGGCTCCTTTTGGGCTTCTACTTCCGGGCTTTTATCTGGCTTCTACTTCCGCCCAGGGGTGGCACCGGTATATATACGGGTACAGTGTCCAATCATGTTAAAGTAAGCAAGGCAAGCTGATTGGCTAACATCATCAGTTGCCAGGCAGACTATATTGTTGAGCGGGTTGTTTACGCGGTAAGCAGGAAACTAACATATTCGATGGGAGGGGTAATCTACCTCAGGCCTCACTCTTTACTACAGGCCTCACGTCCGCCGAGTGAGGCGACCGGGCTCGGGGCTGCGGCTCCCAACACCACACCATGTTGTGCTCCTGTGCAGTTCTTGCCTGCAATAACCTCAAACTGGTAGCTGGAAATTGGCATGTTAGGAGGCAATTACAGAAATTTGCAAATGCTATGTATAAGACCAAGGCCTTTTCCTCCTAAGAGCCAAATGTTGAGCATTTATGACAACATCAGAGGCAACAGATAGCTAAGAAGACAAATATGGATTGGAGACACCACGAGAGGCATCAGAATGCAGATGTGCATGGCTTTGTGGACTGCTGACACACCTAGAAAGACCCTGTGCTTGGCTTCAGGTATGGCTGCTACCATCTGGAAATTCTTAATTTTTGCACACAGGGCCATATGCTTTCATTGAGTGCTGTGTTAGTACAGGTGTCGGGGAGCCTTAGGTTGTTGAGGGTACTGATGCTTAGCCACTGCCCCCCACATTCCTCCAAATGCAAATTCTGTCACTATGGCAGTGTCACCTGGCAGTGCCCTTGCAGAGCTGTTTTCCTCATTCACCCTTTGACCCTCACCCTTATGTCCACCACCAGCTCATGGAATTTCCTCTTCTTTTATGCTGGGTTCTTTACTCTTTGGTCATTTTTCGGAAAATTAGTTACCCAATAATGTGTTCCGAGGCATAGGCAGAAGATTTCTTCCCAAGTCGCAATGCCTCACATTCCTGCTCACGTCGACACGGACAGTGGTGGAGGAGGCTTTGGAGTACAACAGAGTAGGGTTAAATCCTAAATTGGGGCCTCAGGTAGAGGTCTGGTTTCTCTACACTTCAGTATCTTCATGGGAGGAGAGAGCTGTATTGACGGCTAGAGATTACATAAAAGTTGTTACGTAAAACTTAAATTAGGTAATTACCCAAAGCACCTAACATCACACCTGGTACACGGTTAAGTGTTCTATTACTGACAGATACTATTCTTACACATGATCAACTAGGAACACCTGGTCATAAAATACGGCCATGACACACAGCAGTAAGATGTTTGGAGGACGAAGGAACACCGGCAGAGATGAACTGAGAGATTCAAATGTTTGAGACAGCGTCTGGCTGAGTCACCAAGTTGTCCAGGCTGGGTGGAAACTTGCCATCTTCTTGCCTCAGCCTCCCAGAATGCCAGAATTACAAGCGTACATCAAAGTATTTTCTTCAACTTTTTAAAGAATTTTCTTAGTCCCACAATGTATGTCGTGGTCTGGACCAGACAAAACGTTTTACTGAGGTTCTTAGTACTCTCAGAATTCTTCTCTGTATTTGATACTTTGCTCAGCCAGCCTGCATGCAGGATCCGGAGCCCAGCCTTCCAACGAAGAGTCTCTCCCGCTGGACAAAGCTCTTCGCAGCCAAGGGTCCAGCGCCCTGCGCGCGCCCGCGCCCTGGAGGCGTCGCTGCGCGGCGGGATCTCCAGCCCCTGGCCTGGGCGTGCAGCTCTCGAGCCCAGTCGCAGGGCTGCCACTCGCCTGGGTCCCGCGCGGCTGCGGTTGCCGTGGAAACGGCGGGAAGTAACAACCCGGCTCCCTAGAGCTAAGCTTGGCCCGCAGAGGGAAGCAGGCGGCAGAGGGACAGCCGGGTCACCACGGTGCCAACAAGCCACAGCCTCGAGGGTCCGCAGGTATTTCAAGCGGCGCCCTGGGACCCCGAGATTGCCCGTGGGGTTCAGGCCAGGCCCACCGCGCCTCGCCACGGGGCGGCGCTGCTCATCGGGGGTCCTGGACACGCGAGAGTGGCGTCTGTCTCTGTCTGTCTCTCTTGGTCTCTCTGTCTCTGTGTCTTTCTATCTGTCTCGGTCTCTGTGCGTTTTTTAAGCAGAGAAAAATGTACGCAAGTCCAGCCCGGGGCTATTTCCGGAGCAGGCAGTGTACCCAGGGGGGAGGGTGCGGGTAGGGGCGCCAAGCTGTTAGCGCGCAGTGACAGGCGGAGACGCGGCGGCCGAAAGCGAGTCCCGCGTATTTACTGCGTGTGTGTGCACGCGCGCGTGTCCCCGGTCCCCTCCCCGTCCCGCGCCTGGTGGGCGGCTGGTGGCCCCTCGCACCTGTGCCAGGTGAGCGCGGCTGGGGGAAGCAGGTGCGGCCGCGCGGATCGCTGCGCCCTGAGCCCGGCGCGTCCCCTGCTGGCCCGGCTGGCAGCCGCGTCCCTTGCAGGAGGCGACCCACGCCGCGAGGCCGCCGGCGCAGAGGCGGTGCCGGCCCGGTCCCCCGGGGAAGATGAGCGGCCCGGGCGCCAAGTCCAGCCACCTGTCGCAGCCGGTGGTGAAGAGCGTGCTCGTGTACCGCAACGGGGACCCGTTCTTCGCGGGGCGCCGCGTCGTCATCCACGAGAAGAAGGTGTCCAGCTTCGACGTGTTCCTGAAGGAGGTGACGGGCGGCGTCCAGGCGCCCTTCGGGGCGGTCAGGAACATCTACACGCCGCGCACCGGCCACCGCATCCGCAAGCTGGACCAGATCGAGAGCGGCGGCAACTACGTGGCCGGGGGCCAGGAGGCCTTCAAGAAGCTCAAGTGAGTGTGGCGTGTGGGGGACACGAGGCGACGAGTGACCTCCGCCGCATCCACTTCTCCGGGGGTGTGTGCGAGGGCTACAGCTTGGGGTGCTGCTTCTCAGGAACCCCGTTGCAGCTGGAGGTGAGGGTTTAAACTAGGACGGCAGAAGGGGTTTTACTGGGCGGCAGCAGGCACAGTTAAAATTTGTGTAAATGAAGAAGTTCTAAAAAGCATCCTTTGCGAAGTTAGCAACCAAAGGAATACTGTATTTATACTTTTACTGTTCAGCTTCCCCCCTGCACTTTTTCACATTATTATTATTATTATTTTGATCCTATCTTTTTATTTTAAATGAAGATTTCTTAAAGATTACTTCCAAAGTGTGATATGCTATCTTATCCTGAGGAGAAAATTACTTCACATGCAACGCTGTTCATATTCTTGGAATCTTCGGTTGCTAATAATGGGAAGAGACCAGTTTCTGTGACTTCCCCTCACCACCTGCAAGTGCGTGCTAGTAACTCAATGCTTGCAAAAGTTTAGTGGCTTGCTGTGTTATATACCTGTCTGTCTCCAGCTGGACAGGGATCACTCACTTGTAGGGAGCTCACTGGTGGTAGATGCTCAATGATTTAGCAAAGCCTTCTAAGGTCTGTGAGGGAACCAGGATGAACACAAGAACCCTTGTGTCTAGGAGATCCTGATCTAAGGAGAGAGACCACAGGTGCACCGAGTTTTAATGCAAAGCACAAGGGTTAAGTGCCTGAGCTGAAACAGTTAAAGTTCTATCTCAGTGAGAGCTGGTGGGGTTGGGCAGTATGGGACAGGTGGAATTTTATGTTTTTTTCTTTACAGCTTTACTGAGATGTGCTTTACATAACATTCAGTATCTCCATTTCAGTGATTTTGGTGTATGGATAGAGTTGTGTAACCATCACCACAAACCGATTTTAGAACATTTCTGTCACACCCCCACAGAAACCTATATTTCCTGATTTTCCCTTCCTCTACAGTCTGGTAACCATGAATCTCTGATTTCAATGGATTTGTGTATTTTAAAAATTCCATTTTAAGCGGAATCAGACAATAAGTGCCCCTCGTATCTGACTTATTTTCCTAATGCTTTAAGGCTTCCTGTTTTAGCATGGCTCTGGGTAGCAGGCTTCTTATTGTGGAATAGTAGTCTGTGCTGTAGATACATCATACTTTGCCTATCCTTAAAGCAGCTGATGAATATTCGAGATGTTTCACTTTTTGGCTCATAGAATTATTATGAGTAATATTTCTATGAGCATTTGTTTCTGAGTCTCCATTCTCTTGGGTACATACTTAGCAATGAAATTGCTATATCTTATGGAAATTCCAAATTTCATCGTTTTAAAATAGAATATTTTAATTAAAATTTATATTGGGCTTCTGGATGACAAAACATATTTATCATACGTCTATGATCTTGGGTTTTTTTGGGGGGGTTTGAGACAGGGTTTCACTATATAACTCAGGGTGGTCTTGGATGACTATGTAGTCTAGGCTGGGCTTGAATTCATGGTGATCTTTTTGCCTCAGCTTCCTGAGCTGGATTTTGTTATTAATTGTTTAGAAATATTTTCCCAAATATTACTGAAGTTCTCTATTATCATCCTTAGTTACCTAAATTTAATTTTATGTATTCTACCTTTTGTTATAACACACAGTCTTTTTATAGAAGATGAAGGGTTTATTTTTCTATTTTCCCAAATTTCCCTTAAAAGTACACTATGTCTCACTTCATAGAAACAGAGGAAACTGTGTCTTAAAAACCTTGTAACTTAAAGCAGCAGATCTGAGACTCAGTCATTTCTTGGCTATGTCCTTTGGCAAGCCAGTTCACCAGCTGGTCAGTAACACACACTATTGATATGAATATGTTCTGTGTATATCAAAGTTCTTCATATACTTCTTAATTAATTTCCACATCAAATGATTTCATGGGTGTGGAAAGCTGGTTCAGAAGCTATGAACAACTAAAATTACAGACTTATTTCAATGAGTCATACTAAATTATATAAATTATAATTTTGTTTTTTGGTATTACTAACACACAAGATAAAAGGACATAGTTCTAAACCAAACAACATATATCAATCTGTATATGTATATAAGAAACTGGCAGTTATTTTTGCTTTTAATGATTACATAAAAACTGAGTGTTATAACAGTGTCCATGGTTTGTTTTCTATGTGATAGATTACTAATTTATTATATTGGCAGTATCTGTAGCTATGATGAAGATGCCAAGATCTAAATCCTGAATATATTTGAAACTTAGCTCTGTAAGTTTGTATGATTTGCAGAACAAAATGAAGAAACTGGCAGAACAAAAGAGAGGCCAGAAGGTACTGAGGGTGACTGTGAGATGATATTGGGAAGATAGCAAAATATTTTCCAAATGGAAACAACAGATTTTTTTGCTGAAACTTCTTTCACTTACATTTTTCCAAAATTTTTGGAACCATATCTAAAATTAGGTAGGTTAAATCTTTCTTTCTTTATTTTTGTCTTTTTTGAGACAGGGTTTCGCTATGCAGTTCAGGCTGGCCCTGAACTCATGTTGTAGCCCACACTGGCCTCAAACTGACAACAGTTCTCTTGTCTCAGCCTCCTGAGTGCTGGGATTACAGGCATGTGCCGCCATGCCTGGCTAACTCTTTATTTTTCAGCACATCATTCTAGAGACTGTTTTCCCAAAAACTATCCCTACAGCCAGGAAATGTTGACTCTACTTTGACATTGAGTCTGCTACATTAATCTTATAAATCTAGGGGCTGGGAATTTAGCGCAGCAGCATAAGCACCTGCCTTGCAAGCAGACGGTCGTGAGTTCGATCCCTGGTACCGATAAAAATGAAAAAGACAAAAAAAAAAAAATCTTGTAAATCTGAGATCACTTTCCTACATATGACAGAGTATTTTGTTTTTGTGTTAGAAACAGTCCTTGAAGATTCACAAAAGAACCATTTTATTGCTAAGATGGGGCAGTGTTTGCACTGTTTTATATAACTACTGTGTATATAGAAAAAAATACAATTCTTTCTAGATATATAATCAATTGCTGTATTCTGTAAAAAAAAAAAAACCCAAATAACAGCAACCACAATAAAAACATTTTAGTAGTCCAAGTTAATTCTAATATAAACTTCTTTTTCACAACTTGAAAATTGTAGTCATTGAGATTATAACTGTCTCTCTAGCTGATAAATGCTAGGTTTATACTTTTATATTACAATGTTTATGTAGTACCATTTATATATAAAACACAGTTTAGGGACCATTTGAAACTGGAACCAGATCACAATGATAGACTTTCAGACTGAAGTAGACAATGATATAAAGTTTTAAGGTTGTGTTTAAGCAGTAGCTAATTAGTATCTGTAACAAATAGTAATGGAATAATAGGTGTCCCCTGAGGTTAACAGTTCATCCACCTGTCTCTGTGCTGAGCCACCTAAACCATCTCCATGACTGAGCATTTATGTACCTGTGAAGTGCTTTCCTGATGATTCCCCAGCCTTCTCTAGGTGTTATTTTGATACTCCCTATTGGTACTTATTTTGACCTAAAGTTCATGATTGATGGAATTGCTCAGCAGCTTTACACAGAAGCCACTCTTTATGAAGTTCATGTACAAAACAGAACTATAGTAATCAGCAGCTAACTATGAAGGGGAACTTGTTCTCTAGTAGATGTATTTCGACTTTCCTTTATTTATTTATTTATTTATTTAGATAGTTAGTTAGAGACAGGGTCTCACTATGTAGCCCAGGCTGGTCTTGAACTCACAGCAATTCACATACTTCAGCCTCCTGAGTTTTGGCTGAGTTACAGGCATGTATCACTACACTTGGCTCCAATTCCCACATCTGGTTAGTGATACTGAAAGCAATTCTTAGTTCTCTAATACCTATTGATTTTTGCTTTAGGCTGATGCATTTCCTATGACTTGTTTTACTTTTTTAATAATGTGCACAAATAAATTTGCATAACTGACTAAAACCTGTAAAAGCTAGCCTTACCTTTTGTTTGTTTTTCCCAGTTACTTGGACATAGGAGAAATGAAGAAAAGACCAATGGAAGTTGTTAACACAGAGGTAATACAAATTCTGCTTTGTAGGCTGGAATGCATAATGTTGCCATTTTGTTCATTTCTCGTGGCGTGACTCGGAGGTTTGCATGGTATTCTAAGTATAGGTGACAAATTCTCAAATGCATTGTCCTTTCTTTGGGCTACTGTCAGAAATAAAGAAACTGAATGGGTGTCTTGAGACATTTTGCACTGGATGAAAATTTTCCCATTTTTTATGCTGTGCACTCTCTGGCTGAAATCCACAGAAATTTTCCCTGTCAAGTAGAGGGATATTCTAAGCACTGTCCCACAAATCTTTACCAAAATTCAATGCCTCTTTCTAACTTGCTTCTGATCACATAGTGTTTGAAAGGCCCAGGATCACCCTGACTGTCTCTGAGGCTTTCCAAGGAGACAAGTGGACACCCCGTTGGACCTGCTGTACCTCAGCAAAATGCTTCCATTATCACTTGTATTAAAGCACACGAGCTTAGACAGCAAAGGCTCCCACAGAGACTTGGAATGAGTCTTGCAAAGTGGGGACCTAGGACATCACAGTCCATGTAGCTTTTCTAACTCTGGTGGGATGTCCAGTAAATCTGCAGGATGTAAGCTTTAATTTTTACATGAAAAAATACATTAAATACAAAGTTGGAGCAATAGCCTTGTGTCTCAGTGAGACGGGGAGTTGTAGTTGGATTCAGATAGGACTCTGTCTCCAAACCAAAGGCTGCTCTTCCCCTAAACTAGTGCTGCTTCTCCATGGGAGATCTGCCAAGAGAGAAAGGAAAGGAAAGGCAGGAAAGTCATTTTTAGCATTTGTGGTCTGAACACCAGAGAGACTGTCCTCACCTCTCACCGAGTCCTCTCCCGTTGTGCTTAGGCCCAACAGGAGCAAGTTAGGCCCTCTTGGAAAAAGTCACGTAAGAAAGAATTCTCATGGTGTAGTACTTGAAGACTGTGCTTTACTCAAGTAATTTGTGGAAAGAAGGATGTTCCCATACCTGGTTTAAAATGATGACCTATTTTTGTTGTTTCAATTCTTCAATATGTGTCATATTGATTATCCATGAAAATGATGGGCTATTTATAACTTAAAATAGACAAAGATAGATGCTGGTCATGTTGTGCTCATATTACAGTTAAAGAATGACTCCTAGTTAGTATTTGTAGCACATAGAAACAAAGGACAGATCAGTGGATTAGTTCTGGATATGATTCTGTTTGAAGAGCACACACCTGTTCGAAGTATGCCATATTGTGTGAAAGTGGGGGTAGAACTTAGGTTCCTGCAGTAGGATTTGAGAAGTGTGAATTCTTAAATCGTATAATACAGGATATTTACTCTGAATTCCAGTGCCTTTGATGGAGACATTGTCTAGTAAAGTGCCACAGGTGTTTGCATTAATTTTGTCAAAAATGCTTTTTTTCTGTTTCAAAGATTATCTTTAGGAGCAGAAGTATTCACAAAGCTTGTAGTTCATTTAAATTGTGAATCATTCTTCTGCTTTGAGGACAGTAGCCATCACTTGCTCTTTAGTTTGGGCTGCTGCACGAACCACACACACACTGTTCTGAGTCATGAACACACATCTCAAATGTGAAAACTCACCCCTTATCTCCAAATAAAAGACTTTATCTCCTGTCTTCAGTTTCTTACTGGTGAGTTCCTTTTCCTCTTTCTGCCCTGCTATTGCATTGCTTTCTTCTCAGTCCTTTTCTACAAAGCCTTCTAGTGGGGATGAAAAGAAACAAATATTGGGGGCAATGGCAAAGGGAGAGGTGAGAGAAGCTCCATGCCTGAGCTTTTTGAGGTGTCCTCACTGTGCCTGAGGTCTCAATCTCCTCAACTCTCCCACCTCCCAGTCTCAACAAGTGGTGGGCTCACTCCACAGTGCACAGCCTCACTGGGGCACTGTGTTCTCCAGAGCCTGCTCCCTGCCCTGCGCCCCAAAGCCTGCTTTCTGCAAGAGGAGCGTATCTGCCCATTACTTACTTAGTGTCTGTTTGGATTATTGGATGGACTGTCTCTGTGTTGCAGGACTTGTGCTGAAGTCACATTTACACGAGCAGTATGCTGGCAGTTCAGATATACCAAAGAGGGACTGTTGAGTGTTTCCTATACTTGAAAATCACCTAGCTTTTTTATATTACATTGTTATAGTTTTCCCATTATTACTATTTTGTACTGTGCCTGATTTATAAATTAAACTTTATCATAATTATGTGTATGGGGGAGAAGCAGTAGTGTATTTAGAGTGCCTTCAGGCATCCTCAGCAATCAGGAAAATGTCCTCCATGGATAAGGACAGGATGTGGATGTTTGAGGTAGAGAATGAGAAAAAAAGAATTACAGACTTCCCTGAGAATCTACCTGTTGCCTGTGTACTGGAATTCTGACCATGAGGAAATACCTCTTTTTTCCTATACGCAATTTACAATCAGGGTTTTGGAATTCAACAAGTTTATAAATTAGAGGATTATGCTACAAGCTTGAGAGCAGATTCACTTTTTTTTTTTTTGAGACAGGGACTTTCTATGCAGCTCAGGCTGGTCATGAGCTCACTTTGTAGCCCAGGCTGGTCTCAAACTCACAACGATTCTCCTGCCTCAGCCTCCTGAGTGCTAGAATTACAGGTGTAAGCCACCATGCCTGGATTTGTGTTTTTTTTTTTTTGGCTTTTTACAAAAGCTATGGCATCTCTTTTCTTGATTTAAGTGAGGATTTCCTTTAAAGCATTGATATCTACTGAGAAAAAACTCAGTACGACAACTTATAATCACTTACAAGCAGGGGACATCAGAGAATTATTTTGAAGTAGACTTAGAGCATGAATATACAGAACTGCGGAGCTCAGAATGGTTTCAAGAGGATTTTCAGTGCAACAGTAATAGGAAAATATTTTTCCAAGCACATGTTTTTATGAAGGATGAGTAAAATTAATTCTTTTTTTAATTTTGAAGAGAATAAAACCAAATGAGACAAATCAAAATAGTCAATCAAAACAAAAATATGAACATAGTACATAACTTAAAAACAAAGTACAAGATCAATAATGGCTACTATATTGCCTCTTGTTGTCTTCAAAAGAATTGCCCATATCATTAGGCATAATAAAATTGAACAAAACAGTACAGAACAAAACCAACAAACACAAAACAATGGAGATATTACAGGACTTCAAAAGAAGATAATAGTCAAACAACAATGGGCATCATAGTGTATCTTATTGTCTTCAAAGTAGTTGCCTATACCATCAGACTCGATGCTATCAAACAAAACAGAATAGAGTAAAATTAGTCGAAACAAAAATACAGGGCTTCAAATCAAGCTAATAGGAAATCAAAAATTGTTACCATAATATATCCTGCTATTTTTGGAATAGCTGTCCATGATATCAAATCTAATACAAGTAGACAAACTGAAACAGAATCAAACCAAACTAAACAGAACAATGAAAACAATATGGGTTTCAAATCATGATAATAGATTAACAATGGCCACTGCCTTCCCTTTTTAGACAATTCCTCTCCTTTCACTTTTCATAGGATGTACTGTACCCACTAACTCCTTTAGTTTTTATATTAGGGAGGCAACCTGCTACTCACCTAAGTGACTCTGAAATTTTTTACCCTGAGCATGATCTCAAGTTGTATCCATTTACCTACAAGAGCCTCAAGGTTATCTTTCTTTTTAACTGGATAGTTTTCCATTGAATAAAAGTGTCATGGCTTTCTAACCAATCTGCAGCTGATGGGCAAGCTACCCCTACTTTGTTTCTGGTTCCCTGTCACATAGAGCTTTGTTTTCTTGTCTTTGACTTTCAGTCTATAATCCCCATTTTGGGTTAAATGTATTTCTTATATAAAGCATATTGATGGACCCTATCTTCTGACCCACTCTGCCTGTGTTTCTTTTTATTGGTGAATTGAGGCCATCTATATTAGTGATTATGGTCAACCTTTTCTGTCTCATCTCCGTCATGCTATTTTTCTGCTGTTGATTGCCCACTTTTTCCCTTCATTCCACTGTCTGCCCCATTCAGTGAGCCCCCTCTCCCTCTGTTCCTGAGACCATGGTCTTTTTTTTCCCTCTCTGTAGAATGTCCTTCAGCATGTTTTGTAGGGTTAGTTTGGTGGTCATGAATTCCTTCAGCTGTTCTTTGTCATGGAAGTAGATTGTTTCTCCATCAATTTTGAAAGATAGTTTTTCAGGGTACATCAATCTGGGTTGGAGGTTATTTTCTTTCAGAACTTGGAATGCTCACTCCAAGTTCTTCTTGATTTGATGGTTTGTGTCAAGAAGTCTGTCATGATTCTGATGGGTTTTCCTTTACAGGTGATCTGTTTCTTTTCTCTGACAGCTTATATAATATTAATTCTGTTCTTGTGTTGAATTTCTGGAATCTGGAATTATTACATGTCTGGGTATAGATTTATTTTGGTTGTTGCTGGCTGGAGTTCTGTATGCCTCACTTACTTATCTGAATATCATTTCCTTTTTCTATGCTTGGGAAATTTTCTTTAATTATTTCTGTAAGTAGCCTTTGTACTTCATTTGTGTTTACTCCTGCTTTTTCACTCATGTTTTTTATTCTTAAATTATACTTCTTTGTGTCATCTTGTAGCCTTTGTATTTTACTTCCTTGTTATTTTTTAGAGATCTTTCCTTTCACAATTGCAAGCTGCAAACCTGTCTTCAAGGTTCGTTAGTCTATCTTTAGTTTCTTTCAAGCAGTTTTGCCAGATTTCAATGGGGTTTTTAATTTCCTGGTAATCTCTTTGAATCTGTTTCATGTATTCTAAATCTTTTTTATGTTCTTCATTGAAGGTTCACCTCACTTTTCTATGCTTCTATATTCTTCTACCTATGTCTTCTTTGGAGGTGCTTAGCAATTCTTTAATTATGTTTCTCATTTCTTCTTTTACCTGAGATGGTATTTCTGTTCTAAGTTCTTTTATAGCCTCATGAAGTTGTTTCTTTATTTCAGTTGCTGTTGCTTCACAAACTTCAGGTGTGCAACT